AAGGGCTAAATCACCCCCGGTGGTACCCCATTTACAAAAATGGCTCTGTGATATTCCACTGGCTGGAAATACCGTCCTGTATATTTGCCTTCTGCCAGGGCTGAGCATTGAGAATAGTCTTGTCTTTTGATATCATAAATGATGCAGCGACACTCAGCCGTGCACGGTTCAGTTTGTTCCTTGTGAGCTTGTCTCATCTGCAAGATAGCTGTCTGGAGGTGAGGATTCTAGGTCAGGGGCTCTGCGCGTCGTGAATTTTGACAGCTGAGGGCCTCTGAGCCAGGTGTTCCCCTGCGCTCACCAGTGTGGTCTTGGTCCCCAGCACCTGAGCTGTCACTTGGGAGGGGTGACAGGAGGGGTGGCTGCTCTGAGAGTCCCACCTTCCCGTCACTGTCCTGCTGCCCAAGGTGTGTCCCGGCTCGTCTCCCATCTGCAGCGCTGAGTAACCGGCTGCCCCGTGAGGCCTGTTGGGGCCCTGTGGGTGCCACCTGTCTCCCGGACTGAAGACCGGCCGGTGGGGGGTCAGGAGGAGATGCAGGTGTCAACGGGGGGGGGGGGTCCGGCTCTCTCTCTGAGAGGAATGTGGGCACTCAGAAAAGTGAGCGTTTGTTTGGTGCCGACAAGACCAAACACAGACCTTTCCTTCCTTACCTCAGTCTGCTGACCAGGTCAGACTCCCACCCTCCTGCTTCCTGTTCCCTCTCATGGTGGATTAGGCACGATTAGCAGTCGGGTGACTGTGCAGCCGCCTTCTGGAGGGAAACAGCCCAGTCCTTGCCTACTGTGTCTTCCCTGCCTGCCTTTCTCCAGCGTGTCTCCTCTGCCCTCACACAGAACACTTTATCTCTGACACTTCTGGTCATCATATGTGGAGAAGGTTTCCGCACACCACACAACTCGCTGCCGCACCAGATGGGTGTCCTACACGTGACTCAGCTTTGACACTGGCTCCCTGGAGATAGCATCGGATCCCACAGGTTAAGGGTTCAGTCCCACCACACGGCCACCCCCGTGCCCCCCGTCAGATCCCAGCCCTGAGTTGCAGGCTTTTGACCAGCGGGCTAGAGGTCAGAGGTCCAGTGACGCCCTCCTTGGATTCGATTATTTGCTAGAGCGTCTCATAGGACTCGGGGACACGCTGACTTAACATTTACCAGTTTGTTAAAGAATATGATGAAGGATGCACACGAACAGCCGGATAAACAGATACGTAGGGCAAGGCCTGGGAGGGCCCTGAGCACAAGAGCTTCTGTCCGTGTGGACTTGGCAAGCATCATCCTCCCGGAATATGGATGTGTTCACGCGCCGGGAAGCTCCCCGAAACCCATGCTCTGGGGATTTTATGGCGGCTTCGTAACGCAACTCCGATCAGTGGTTAACTCCATTTCCAGCCCCTCTTCCATTGCTGGAGAAGGGTGGGTGGGGCTGAAAATCCAGAGCTTGCAGTCACAGCTTGGCCTTTCTGGTCTCCAGCCCCATCCGCTCACCTCGAGTCACCTCATTAGAACACGAGATGCTCCTCGTATTCTTCTCACGTGGGGATTTGTCAGGGTTTTAGGAGCTCTGCAACAGGGACCTGGAGCCAAGAGCAGTACTTATCTCCTATTAGCTCACAGTCCTGACCGAGGAGCTGTGTTCAGAACTGTTGTCATAGCTCTATGTCCCCTGCGAAGCCTTCTCTGCCCGCCCCGAGCAGAACTGACTCCTTTGTAGGCTCCATTCCCTATTCTGCCTCTGCCATTGCCCTGGGAGGACAGGCAGCCCGCCCTCCTGCCCCCCTCCCTTTCCTGTGTGCCTTGGTAAGTGCGGCGTTTCTCCCTCTACGAGGGGAAGCGCCCTCAGTTCAGAGAGGGTGTGTTTGTTTTTATTATTCCTTATATCCTCTGGACTTAGCAGCTTGATCTGTGTTCAGTCAGGGAGCTGAAAGATTGCATTTCCAGAGGAAGCTCCCTTTACCGCCTCTTCTGTTCTTTATAACGTTTAAAATAATTTAGGGGCATAAACATTGCATCCACTACACGGTCTCAAATTGTGCGGCGAACAGCAGGGAACAGTTGTGTCGAGAAAGGCGGGGCAGTGTCGTGTTGAAAGACGTGGGTGTGGCGAGCGGAACGCGTGCATTTTCATCCCTCTGTCCTCGCTGTGTGACCCTGGGCAAGTGACTTCCCACTGTGCAAAGCCAGTCTGTCCTCCTGTGTCCGGGGTGTCCCGGGGCGGGCGCCAGATTGAATCTCTGCTGCGTGTGGAAGTCTGAGGATGGGACACAGGGTCCCGATCCCCGAGCCCAGCACTCCGGGCTCATGAGGAATGTGCCGTTGCAGGAATCCTTGACCTTCAGGGATGTGTTTGTGGACTTCACCCTGGAGGAGTGGCAGCAACTGGACTCCGCTCAGAAGAACCTCTACAGGGATGTCACGCTGGAGAACTACAGCCACCTGGTGTCCGTGGGTGAGGGACGGCTGCGCAGCGTGACTGGGACACGCGCCCTCGTGTCACCTCAGCTGCTGCCCGCTCCGGGGCCTCCGGAGCCCGGAATGAGCTGGGGCCTCAGGCTCACCGCTGGGAAGTCAGAGCCCCCTGTGCACCCCGCCCCGGATGTCTGTGCTCTCGCCCTCTCGGTGACTGGTCTGCACTGAGGGGCACAGAGCCGTCCTCGGGGCCCGCACCGAGGCCGGACCGTGTCGGTTGGCAAGGAGAGGCCCTGGTTCTGGAACACGTCTGGCATTACTAACGAAGTCTGTGTCGTTTCCCCTCCTCAGGATACCTCGTTGCCAGCCCGGATGAGGTCTTGAGATCGGGACGAGGAGAAGAGGCCAGGAGGGCAGAGGGAGGGCCGTCGGCGTGGAACTATCCAGGTGAGCCCGCACGTGGCCCGTTGGGCCAGGGCAGGGGACCAGGAGGTCAGCGAGAGCTGGGCGTCAGGGGCAGGCCTGGGGGCTCTTGTCAGAGTCCCTAGACTCGGGGACCTGACTTGGCTTTGATGAAACCAGCCGCCTGGTAGGCACGTGACATCCCCCGCCCCCGCCACCCTTCCGCAGCCCCCTTGTTCTGCTTGGGGTTCAGGTCCCAAGTCCACGTCCCGGTATCCTGGGTGGCCTTCCCCCTTTCCTGCTCCCCCTCCTTTCTGGAAGCTTTGAGGCTGTTTCTCCTCCCGTGGGCATTTGCCTTTTCCTCAGAAGAGATGTGCTGTAGGTGTGACGCGCCCTCTTTATCTGTCGTCCTGTGGGCCCTTTACATCTAACGCTGGGAGTCCTCTTCAGCCTCGGGGAAGTCATCCCGCCTGGCTTGCTGGAGCTGGCGGGGACCAGAAGCTTTGCTGGTGGCCTCCAGCTCGGCCGGGCTGGGCAGCCTTCGTGCTCTCTCCGTGCTTCTGTCGTGCTCAACCGCGTCAGCCTTCACGGGACCCAGTCCTCGCTTCTCAGTCCCCCCATCTCTTCCAGATGTGACCCGACTCCGCCTGTTGTCAGCTTCCTGCTCTTACCACTGCCTCCCTCCCACTCACCTGTTTTGTCCTCCGTGTCATCTCTGTCTTTCCCCAGAACACAGGGGACCCGGAGAGGACATCCCTCCTGGGCGGCCTGCTTCAGTGAGCGCTGCCTCCGTCCTGGGCACAGCGGCTCTTTGCCTCCTCCGTGGGTTTGGTTGGTTTGGCTCTGGGCCCCTTGTGGGGATCCACACACTCTTCAGACGCCGGTCTTCCTCTTCTTCTGGCGCGCTCCCAGCGGCCACCCCGACGGCTTCCCCACAGCCCGCCTCTGCTGGGCTGTGCACCCTCTCTCTGTCGGGGCCTCCTGGGCTGGCCTGCACCTGCCTCCCCCACGGCTGTTCGGGGGTACGGTGTCCTCTTTGTGCTCCGTCAACCCCATACCTGCTGCCGTGTCCAGATCCATCAGCATTTCTGCTCTGCTCGTGGCCTGCTTTTTCCTGCTCTGGGGTTTCCAGGAATTGAACTGGCGGAGTCTCGTTCTCAGTTCAGTGGTGCCCTGGAAGGAGGAAGCGCAAGCTCAGAGGCGCAGCCCCCTCCCTGAGTCCAGTAACCTTTCGTGAACACCTGTTCTGTTGGAAGGAACCGTACCCACGTTGGGTGTGCGTGCAGGGCAGTCCGGGATCCAGGTCATGTCAGCACATTCCCAGCCACACCTCCACGTTCTGCCTCTTCTTGGGGTTTCTCTTTATAATTCTGCGGATGGGTACCTCCTGGGTCCCGGGAATCCCTTCATACCTGCATTTCTGGAGATTTCTATTTTATCTCCCCTCTATGAAAACTCAGGATTTATCTCACTTCCACCTTGGCCTTCTCCTCAGCTCTGCACAATGCTTTTTAAGGTATTATTTGTAGTTTTTCTGATGGTTACATTTGTAAGTGTAAATAATAGAACTCAGCTTCTATGTCTGCATTCCATTTGGTAACTCCTTCTAAACCTAGCTAAGTGTCTGTGGCTTATTCTCTGCCTAGAACACAGAACCCCAGAGAGAATGCCTGCATCTTATTCTTACTGTCCCGGTGTGGGGCTGGTGGAACATTCCATAAACAATCTTTCCTTTTGGAGGAGGGCAGAGGAAGGAGGTTCGGTGCTCATCCACAGCCAGGGGTCACTGGCTCCGGCTTTGGAGCTCACAGCCCAGACTGGATTTCTGGCTTCTTGGCTCGCTAGCTATCCCTCTGCACACTCGCCTCAGAGCCTCTTTGCCTGCTTGTAGAGTGGGGCTGATGCTAGAACTTACGGGGTTGTCAGAGTTTAATGAGTGGATGAATGTAAAGCACCAAAACTGGTGCCTCGACCCCCGGGAGCTTTCGGTAGTGGGTATCACTATTTTTATTGTTGTTTTTAATAAAACATGTCTTACTACAGTCTTTGTTAACCCAAGGCATTCACATAGTGACCTGTGGACCCCGCAGGATCCTCACTGTTAGGCCCCCCACCTGCTGGAAATTGTTCCAGAAAGCCCCGGGTGGTCCTGGTTCTGTGCACTGTGAGGGACACTGCAGATAGCCCGACGCCCATGGCCAGGTAGGATCCACCGTTTTAAATATCCCCTGCGAAGAGTTCAGAGGCTCGGGAGACACGGCCAGGCCTCACCGAGGAGCATGGGGTCGGGCGGAGGAGACGACAGGAGCAGGTGGACAGCTTTTCCTCTTCCGCCATTCCTCCAGACTTCAAGCTGCTTCGGGACTGCATATTCCCCTGGGCCTATAGGAAATTTCTGGCAGGTCCCAGCAATTCTCTGGTTGTTCTGATGGGGCTCCTGGGTGACTCAGTCAGTTGGGTGTCTGACTCTTGATATTGGCTCAGGTCGTGAGCTCAGTGTCCAGGGCTCCAGCCCTGCATCGGGCTCTCCGCTCAGTGGGGAGTCTGCTTGTCTCCCTCTCCCTCTGCCCCTCCCCCTGCTCGCTCTCTGTCTCTCTCTCTCAAATAAATAAATAGATCTTTTAAAAAAACTCGCTGGTTGTTCTGAGAGAAATCTTCTAGGAATGGTTAGTCTCAAGAGTGGCCTCACTCTAGTAATCCGAATTGTCCAATCCCATGGAGTAGGGTGAAGTCTGAAGTTCATCAAAAGGTTGTTAAGCTTTTCACGGAAAGGTCTTTGCCTTTGTGAATTTTCCCTGTCTCTTGTTTTCCGTTTTGTTCACTTCTCCTTTTACCTTTATTTCCTTTTTCCTACTTACTTTGGGTTTACTTTGCTGTTCTTGAACCTTTCTCCCCAACATTTTATTATAAAAATTTTCACACCGAACAAGTGAAAGAATTATAGTTTGAACACCCACAGAATTCCCCCTGGAGTCTACAATGAACATTTTGCTGTATTTGCTTTTTCTTCTGTCTGTACTGATTCCTCTGTCCTTCCATCAGTCCTCTTTCTTTTTGTGGTGAGTTTCACAGTAAGTTTCAGAGATCGGTACCCTTCACCCCTAAATACTGCCAAAGGCATATCATTAACTAGAGGTCACAACTTTTTTATATTGTTTATTCTTAATGCTTTTATTAATGCTTAATAGGTATTTTAATAAAAGGAAATTCATAAATAGTACCATATGGAATTTGGTTGTATGTAATAATGTTTTAACGAATTCCCATATGTGTTTTCCATGTGTTTTCATTACATATTTATGCGAATGTGACTCTTCTTTTTTTAAGTGAGATTTATTGAGGTATAACTTATATACCCTGAAGTTCACCTTTCTTGAACAAATATGTAGTCACGTAACCACCACCACCATCAAGATACTGGACATTTTCAATCCTGCCAAAAACCCTTGTTTCCTTTCATTCTTAAACTTCTCTTTGTACCCCCAGACCTGGTTTTTTTTTTTTCTTGTGGTTTGATTCTTTCTAGAATGTCACATAAATGAATCTTTTAGTAGGTAGCCTTATTCATCTCACTTTTTTCACTTAAGGCTTTTTAATTTCATGTTGTGGTATTTTTTGGTAGTTTGTTGCCTTTTTTAGAGATTTTATTTAGTTATCTTAGAGAGAGAGAGATTGGGAGCACGGGCATAGGTATGGGGAGAGGGAGAGGCAGAGACAGAGGGACAAGCAGATTCCCCGCTGAGCAGGGAGCCGACGCAGGGCTCAATCCCAGGACCCTGAGATCATGACCCGAATCGAGGGCAGATGCTTAACCGACTGAGCCACCCAGGCGTCCCAGTTTGTCGCTTTTATAGCCAAGTCATGTCGCAGTTCATTTATCCATGAAGCACTTAATGCCCTTTTGAATTGTTCCTGGTTTTTGGTTATTATTAATGAAACTGGTGAACATACTGTACAGCTATTTATGTGGACATATGTTTTTATATTCTTGGGTAAATATCTGTAGTAGGGTTGCTTGGTCATATGGTAAGCATATGTTTAACTTTATAAGACATTGCCAAACTGTTCTCCAACATGGGTATACCATTTTGTTTTCCCACCAACAACACACTTTTCATGTAGATGTGTACGGGTAGCTCATTGTGACTTAAATTTGCACTTTTTAAAAAAATTTTGTTTATTTATTTGAGAGAGAGAGAGCATGAGCAGGGAGAGGGGGAGTGATAAGCAGACCCCCTGCTGAGCAAGGAGCCGGACGCGGGGCTTGATCCCAGGACCCTGGGATCATGACCTGAGACAAAGGCAGACGTTTAACTGACTGAGCCACCCAGGCACCCCTTAAATTTGCATTTTTGTGATGACTGTTGATCTTGAGCATCTTTTCATGTGCTTGTCTGCAATCTGTTTATCTTTGATGAGGTGTCTATTGTAATCTTTTGCCATTTTTGTGTGTAATATAATTGTTATCTTTATATATGCATATAAATATATATACCTTTAAATACGTCTGTCTGTTATCTTTATATATTCTAGTTGCAAGTTCTTTCTCTTCCATGTGTTTTCCAGCAACTCCAAAGTTGTGGCTTGTTTGTGTCTTTTGAAGAAGACGTTTTTATTTTTGATAAAGTCCAATTTAGCAAGTTTTTCTCTTCTGGTTCATGCATTTGTGGCCCATTTATCAAATTTCTTTCTAACCCAGGGTAAGAAAGATTTTTCTCATATGTTTTCTAACAGAAGATTATAATTTGGTTCTTAAAGTTAAAGCTATGATGGAGGGGCACCTGGGTGGCTCATTCATTAAGAGTCTGCCTTAAGCTCAGGTCATCATCCCTGGGTCCTAGGATCGAGCCCCATGTCGGGCTCGTTCCTCGGCGGGGAGCCTGCTTCTCCCTCTCCCTGCTGCTTCCCCTGCTTGTTCTGTCTCTCTCTCTGACAAATAAATGGATAGAATCTTTAAAAAATGGTAATAAAGCTATGACTGATAATGAGTTAACTTCATTTATTTTTAAAGATTTTATTTATTTATTTGACAGAGACACAGCAAG